TCTGAGTTGTGACTTAGCATAACTTATGAGAGGGTCCTGAAGGGGGGGGGGGTCCCAATCCCATTTCCCACCTGAAATTTTGGCAAAATCCCAGTCCCAGTTGGATTTTTATTAGAAATCCCAGTCCGAGTTATTGAAATCCCAGTCAATAAAAACCCCTTTATTTATCGGTAGAATAAACAGTTTTAAGACCTTTTAAGCAAGTGGCGGACACTTTATGAAATATTAGGGGGGGAGTTCGTGCCGAAGGCACGGAAAATTTTTAAATTTGAATCCCGAAAATGGCATTTGCAGCATTCTGAGACACGCATAATCATAAAACCCAGAATTCCGGGCACCAGAGTATGCATGTTCGCAGGTAGTGCTGTGAATAATATAGTTAACAACAAAAATCATGACCAAAGACACCAAAAACGGATCAAAATTGTATTTTAAAATACTCAAAACGCAGAAAAATTGGGAATCGACTCGCATTACCTCAATCCCATTCCCATTTTTGAGGACTTCATTTCCCATTCCCAGTGGCCAAATCCCAGTCCCAGCAACCCAAATCCCATTTTCCCAGTCTAAAAATAGATCAATCCCAGTTCCCATTTTACCTCTTCAGGACCCTCTTATGATGGAATATTCCGCTTCCATGCACCTCTAATAAAATTGAATGCGATTTCTTGCATTTTTTGCAGTCCACTTTGCGCCCATTAAGATAGAAATCAGCAAAACACCCTCCACAATAATTATTAACACATTTTGCCTTTGGATAAGCCGGGCAGTTGGAAAACAGATCACAAGGAGGGACTTTACACTGATGGATTGTTAGCGGAGGACATGCTGTAAGTAAGATATAAACAGTATATATAAACAGTTTTGTTTTTCGTTATAGATAAAAGAGTGCTCAATACTACAAATTATTTAGCAGAGCGATTTAATTTGTTATCTTAAAATGTTTCAATTTCTCGCTACTTTAAGTTTCATGCCACTATTTGTGGCAATCTTCAGGCGATTAAATTCAGTTCGTTATAATGGCGTGATCTATAGTTTGCTGACGTGCACCGTCATTCGCACGCGCGTTCAAAATTTCCCGCCCAAAATTTCTCGCGATGTCGGCATTTTGTGAAT